CAATTCTCTCATACATGGCCTCTCTGCAGTTCAATTGAGGGGCACATTTTAAATAATACAAGTCCAGCAAGATCGTTAAAGTTAATCAGCATGCAACAGCATTTTGGTGATTCATCACCTTCAGTGACTAAATGACTAATTCATCATCAGTCTCTTATTAGGGGGTCTAGCGACCAATGGATATGTTGTCATTAAAGATCTTTATCGATTCAATTGCTCTTTATAGTCAAGTCCTTTTGAAAGAGTGCAATCAAATGTGATGGATGAATTTCACATTTATGTTCACATATTCCTAACTGAGACTTAAACCACCATCAACTAAACATGGAACGGGAATGATTAACAAATCACACATGGATGCATGAAAACATTAAATTGAATGGAATTGCTCACACATGCTCACAAAAATCCAGTGAAGCACATTTAGGACTCAAGCCTAATTGCAAGCTTGTCTGGGTAAATAATAGCAGATGGAAATTAAAAGTACAGTATATCCCCCTCCACCCCATTCTTTAAAGACACCCTGACCAAAAGGTCATGCAAATTACAAGTATAATTTCTGAAACTGAAAAAAAAAAAAAAAAAAAAAAACATTGGAAGAGATATTTTGCATGCTTACATAATGGAAGTTGGGATTAGGGAAGAATGCCTCCTGTCATCTGTTTGGGCAATGATGAATAGAGTAGAGAGACAGAAAGACAGAACTAGAGAGGAGATGAGGCAGACTGAAAAAGAGAAAAGGTACAAGGAGAGACATAAAGACAGAACTGGGCCAGCTAGGTCTTAGCCATGCAGACACAGTCCATGTCAGGGAGGTCAGGAAGACCTTTGTGGAAAGTAATTGCTTGGGAAAGGAGGGGAAGGTTAAACACACCCACTGCCATGACATAAACTACTCTTATATCAGCAAAATGAACCTAAAAACATTAACTGGACTAATGAAAACTGAACAATATTATTAACATTATCCATTCATGAGAAAAAGAAGAAAAAAGAGGGACAATATTCTAGGCTGAAATTATTATTATTTTTTTTTCTTCCCAAAAGCATCATGAGCCTAAGTTGATAGTGAAGAGTGCTGCCACCTACGATCAATTTAGCTAACAATGCGTTTGTGAAATGCAAGTAGAACAGAGACTGAAGCTTATTGTAAAGTATTCCAATAGAATACATTCTTTCAAGCACGATATAAAATCACAATTATTTTATGGTGAATTGCGTAGACAATGATGTGGTGATCATGTCAGATACTTTTTTTTTTAACTAACTCTCCCAAACATTTATTAAATACCCTCCTATATCAGTGGTAAGTAATGGGAATGCAAATATTCTGTGAATGATGTACAACAGAGGAACACAACTCTAGAAAGTTCCATACAACATTGACTTTTCAGCAAAATGATCTGACTTGGCTGTTATTCTTACATCTGCACTAAAAAAAATTGTGGCTTGTGGCCAACTATTTGAAAAATAGTAATTTAAGATAGTTGACATTTTCTCTGTCCTGACTCCTTTAGAGAGCTACTGAGAGGGATATGTGGTAAAGGCTTTTTTGGAAAATACAAATTAAATTATCCCCATTTTACCCCCTTTCTTAAGGGCCAGGAACTTTGCTTGTCATCTGACAATCAGCAGTCGACGGATTGTGACCTTGTCTGTTGAGGCAACGTCATTTCTGAACCAAAGGTAAATCAAGCCGGTACTTTCTAGATGCCTCCGCAGCAGATTTCTGTGTGGTTGCCAAATAAAATTTGATTGATTGACTGGCCCCTTGAATAGCTGATTTATTGAGGTTGCACTGAAAGGCTTTTTTTATATCGAGGAAGGATTTTGCTATCACTACACGGTAAAAGGCCGAGACAGATTCAATTACACTAGGCACGTTTTAAACTTCTTAGCACTGCATATCCATACAATCAATGGTAATCACAGAGCAGTTTGGCTCAGAAATCATGGTCATGGGTGGTCCCTCATGAATAATCTATAGAGACTTCTTTGTGATTGCAGCGACTGGACCAATCAGACACACAATTATTCATTGCATTTAATGAATTATCCAGGAAACCCCCTCACCCACCCACAAAACAAGGTGCCTGTGACAACCCCACAAAAGTTAGATCAGAAACCCTGGTTATAATGGGAGAAAAAAAAGCATATCAGCGAGTCTGACCACCAGACCTTTCCTGCCGTGCACAGCCGAATGGGCCTCAAGACAGGCTAACATCACAGTTCTTTGTCATTTATTTCGTTAAACATGGAAGAAATTGTTTGCAAATTTAACACCATCAACTTACTGAATCATCAAGACTTCCTCCTGAGACTGCATCCAGTTTTGCAAGTAAAAGCTAAACAGATGATTAGTATGAGTTATAGACCCCTAGTTAACAAGGTGCTTTGAAATAAGAAACTGATGGTTCTGTTGTTTAGATGGCTAAATTACTCTTTTCCATAGCTTTATTTCCGTTTCTGTTTTTGGTTCTATTCTCTTTCACTTTACCCATGTATGTGTGATTGTGTCTGTATGCATGTTTAGATTAGTTATGTGTTTGTGTTCGTTTTTTATTTTTTTTTTATTTTATTTTTTTACTTTTGTTCACATTCATGCGATATTCCAACGCATTCTCATCCTAGGGCGCCATATACTGACGCTTTTGACAATGCGTATACATCCAACGCACATGGCACCCTTGTCAGAGGGACTGAAAGGCATCACTCCCCCACTGCGAACCAAACATGTGAAGCAGGTTTAAGCACTTTTATACTGCTCTTCTTCATTATTTGATGAAATACTGCTGCCATTATCAAAAAAAATCTAACTAAAAGTCTTCTTTTTTTTTTACCCACCCACCGACAGGAGAGAGTAAAAAGGCAAACTTTTATACAAGAGAAAATAGTTCAATATAGACAAATAACACTGAATCTTTTAAAGAAGGCACACTGTAAGCCTAATTTAAAGGGACAATGCATAGATCCGACTATTATCCCCATGTACTGTAATGGTCCAGTGGCAGAACTTTTGCAAAGCGTGCCAAAGGTTCTGGGTTCTAATCCGCACAAAGTAGTTTATTTTTTTTTCCTCATCAAAACTGATTGTTTATTAGTGATTATATATCAAGCAAGGACACTTTTTTGTGCATTAGGTTTTGTTATTTCACCATAACAAATATAGAGAGTCTCTCCGCAACGGATTGAAGCGTGTCTGTGCGTGTCACAACAGAACATCATATCCGCTCCACTGATCGCAGTGGAATCGAGCACTTTGGTCACTTGATTTAAAAAATCAAGTGACCAAAGTAGGGAAATAACCCGAAGTTATACAAGTTATATAAAAATTTCAATTACCGAAGCTGTTCAGTTAAGCTAAAAAAAAAATGCACAATCTCCCTTTAAACAGGGTAAGTCATGTTTGCGCTGAAACAATGACCTTTTAAATATTTCAATAGTCATGGCATGATGCTAATTCTGCACATTTAGCACCTGGTTAAAACTGATTGTAAATGGTTAATGAAGTACGCTGAAGTACCATACACTAAAGTGGTGAAACTGTTTGTTTAGTGAATTTGTAGTGACTGTACACAGGAATCTAGCAGGACGAGGGCACGGTAGAGCAGGGACTATTTTTGTCTTTACTTGTCTGTGTCACTATTAATGAGAGATAGCCACCCATCCTGACACACACGCTCAGTGCCTGTCTGTCTCTTTAAGCAAACCGCCCCTCAGGTCCCGCTCATTTCACATGCTGTATTTGCAGAGTGCCAAGAGACTGGAAAATACACTGAGATAAAGAGAAACTGCAGTGATGTCAGAAAGAAGAATGAGAAGGAGGAGGGGGGACACTGAGCGAAGGGAAAAGAGCTTTTAGATGAACAACCCAGAGCAATAAAGTAAATGAGAAAAAAAAAGGATAAGGGAAAAAGATAAGACAGAGAAAGTCTTTCTGTTTGCGTTAGTTTTACACCTTCCGCAAACGTGAAGTACTCCCAGCACAAGGACGGCAAGAAACTGAACGCTAAACCAATATAAAAGTGGTACAATCCTAATCCCCTAAAAGTGATTGTGTACACAAGGATGTGTGTATCAGAGGGAGAGAGAGAGGATAAATGTGTGTGCGAGTGTGTGAATTTGGCAGTGATAACTGACTCAGAACGCACGACTGCGATGTTCTTCCTGAGGTGACTGAAAACTGTCAGCATTGGCACCTGAAGCGCTCTCTCTCTCCCTCTCTCTCCTCCACTCAACCCATCAAGGACAGACACGGCAGACCGAAGAAAGAACAGTAGTGTTAACTCTCTCACCCTCCTCTTTTTCTCTCCCTTCATCTTTCTGTTTTCTATCCTCCATTGTTCTCATTCATCATTCTTGTTCTTCTCACTCTCTTTTACATTCACCCGCTCGCTTTTGCTCACTCGATCGCTCTCGCTCCCGCTCTCCCTCCCTCACTTGTTCTCTTATGAATGTCACCTTTACTGGTGGTAGCCGCTGGATTTGCACACACACACTTGCTGGCTTTGGGGTGGGGTGGGGGGAAGGGGGGGTAATGTAGGAGTGTGGGGAGAGATAGCGCGTGCCAGAAGAGGCAGAAGGGAAATTTCTCAGAGTCCATTCTTCTTTTGCCGGCTACCGTCCTGCGACTCAGGGCTTTGTCCGTCCCAGCAGCTGAAGCAGAAGTGCCTCTGGACGTGGGAGCACTGGATTACCGCTTGAGATTATTCTCTCTCTCTCTCTTTTTTTTTTTTTTTTTTTTTGCCAGCACAACTAAAGTTAGCCATAGGGACTGCAGGCTGGCCATCTGGCAGTTTCTGACAGGATCTGTTCCTGATTTGAGCCGAATAATTTTGCTGCTGGTGAGCGAATAACTTTTTTGCAAGGACCAGCCGTGTGTGGGTGAGAAACCTCATCGTTCCCGTGTGCTAAACTTTAGCTTTGTCAGTGTTTTCGTCTTCAGGAACAAGACACAAGGGGAGGGGAAGGGAGAGAAGAGATGGAGGGGGGGGCAAATATGTCGGCAATGTCGCAACAATGACTTTGTCAGCCGCTTTCTGTGTCTTTTTGTGGACATGTGACAATGTCGATTTACATTTTAAGGATTTGTTGTGGTGTCAATATGTATTTAGAGAAACAAACATAATGAAGGACAAACCATGGACAGGTTGCGAGTGGACCAGAACTTAACCTCTTCCCTTACTGGAGGGAAACACACAGACACGTGAGGAACCTACCTGAATACTTGGCTCTCCACGCGAGGTTTGACCCTTGACTTTATCTTTTTGTGCTGCTGGTAAAAAGACGAGTGCATCCAGAGAGGGTCTCTTAAGCAAGCAGAGACCCCCCTCCTATAGGTGAGAGGGGGGGGGAAGATGGCAGCACTTGCCAGTTCTCTCATCAGACAAAAACGGGCAGTCAAGGAAGACCAGGCCAACCGGCCGATAGCCAACAAACGCAAGCCGTGCCCCAAGAGCAACAAGTCTCTTTGCCAGAAACAAATTCTCGTTCTCATATCAAAAGTACGGTTATGTGGCGGTCGAAGAGGAAGAACAGAGAAAAGACCAGGTAGGTTTATCTTGAACTTTTCACTTCTGGAACCAAATCCACCACACAAAAAAATAGAAAGATAACTGCTTTCTTGAAACACCAAAAGAGCAGAATGAAAAAAGTTTGTGCAACTAAAGTTGCAAAATGTCATTCTTCTTGGCTTCTCGAATGCCACTTCACAATCACACTCAAGTTCAAACTGGCTGTGGTACAAATGTAGGGATACAACGCTGAAATACAGTCGTCTCTGTGAAGCAATGTTTCTCAGGTCACATAAAGGAGAAATCACTAAGCTCATGAAGTTGTAGCATCATGAAATTTATTCAGACTTTTATAAGGGAAGAATAGGATTGAGTACTATTTTATGACAAGAGGCAAGCCCTTTATAAGGTGTGATTTACAGTCTTTCAAAGCGTCCCACATGCACAGGCTAATCTGGGTTGCATTGAAGCCTGCCCTTAGGAAGCTAATTATTACCTCATATCTTCTATGTTCACACATGGGCAAGCATGTCTGCATATTAATACCTAATTTCAATTGTGTTCCATAAAATATTGTTTCTCAGTAGGGCTGTGAGATTGGAAGTTGGACTTCGGCCATGTGTTAGTTCCAGTAACCTTGCCACTGGCCAAAAAGAGAAAAAAAAATAGCACGCTCTCTGATTACAGCACTGATACTGAGACAGAATCTCTGCGATTGTTGTATCAACCTACAGGGCAAAAATTCAAAACAACCAATGTCCAAAACTCTGACTAGCAGTTTTATTGAAAGAAAAACATCTCCGTTCTGAATCCCTGCCATTGGTTGTGAGTTTTGTAATGTCTTTGGATAATAATGGGGACCAAATGCTTATGACATTTTGAAATTGGTGCCATAGACTGAATGACTAAACACTGAAAAAGAGAACTGTCAATGTAAAAACAAGATAAAAGAGAGAAAGGTAAAGAGACAAGACAGTGTTTGAGAGTGTGTGAGAGAGAGTGGGTGTTTTGTACATAAATGAAAATGATTATAGTCAGGGATATTAATCTGCCTCTTTATCCGCCTCTCTCACCAATGAGCATGAAATGCACCACGCTGCAATCATCAGAAGAAATATGGGTATGAGTGTTTAAGAGAGTCTATTTCTATAATACTGAAGTAACGCTGATATCCAGTCCTACTCCTGGGACCGTGTTCTGTAATATTTACATTCCTTTGATATCTACTGAACACTATCACATTACGCTCCAGCACCGTTAGCATAATGTGGTTTAGGGACATGCCGAAATGCAAATATATTTTCGCACATGCAAACACACAAAAACTGGCTCAGGGAACTACATTTAATATTGCATTGCTAGGATAGGTGAAATTACTACTGCAAGTCTTTCCTTGTTGGTGCAGATTTAGTGCTGGTCTACCGCCAGAGGTCAAGGTTTGGATGGTTAATATGGCCTTGTTAGCCCCTGCTGGTAAATGTTGAATCTAAAACCAGCTGACAGAAAAAAAGCAACTAGCTGGCGAACCTGATTAACGAATGACATCCTGTTGGTTGGTTGTCTAAGCTAAAAAGCTAAAATAAAACATTTACTGCTCTTTTCAGCAGGGAAGTCCCTCCAAATGCTTAAGCAGTGACATTTAATTTCAGGGTTGTGCTTCGAAATTCAACCCATAGCACTATGGGTGAACTGAAGCAGACAAAAATTGACAAATTAGTGGGCATCACCTAGCCACAGCAGGGTTTCATCATGGGATCACTGCTGCATTGTCAGTCAGTGATCCATGCGCATCCATCATAACAATGTCACGCCTCTGCTGTACCCGCAACACCCTTCACATCTGTCTCACGCACACCTGTCTCTCTGAGTCACTTGCTTTTTGGATGGGTTCCCTTGCTGCTCTAAAATGGCGTCGCGGTCTCACACCATCCGAGGTCGGCGCTGAGTCTACTGGTCTCTCGATCGATGCAGCTCATTAACGTACACTGATTAATCAATGATCACCCTCTCCGTTTGCTCAGTGCCCAATTTCACGCAAGGTGGAGATGGTATAGAAACGTAAACCACACACACACACACGCACACAAAAACCATTCTCTTAATAGCAGTGGCTGTTTTACACCTTTACAGTTTTATGGAGCACTTGGCTTCTGTGGAGTGTTTGGCTTTATTCAACAACAAATCTCCTATAGAGGAGGAGAGAGACAGCATGAGAGAACCAATTACTATCAGTAAAGGAGCGAGAAAACCCCTCACATAGGGTACACAAATTTCCTTTAACATAAAACAGCTTATTGGAGTGGATTGAATATGGCATTATGAATGAATAACACCAGTCAAGCCAATTTTCTATTCTCGATACCTCTGAAATCATGGCGATACTGCAGTGTCTAAAGAAAATATCAAAGACGGCAACTTCACTAACAGAAATTCTTTTGTTGACTTCATTTAATACATTTATAAGTCCAAATTAGGCACAATTCCTAATTATCTGACTGCGGCTTACAATGCTTTATTTTTAATAAGACAATGGCGAAAAACAGCGCCTGGAGCAAAACCTCTGGATGAGATTCTGCTCATATCTCCGTCAGTGTGAGTTACCAGAACCTCGCATTGCAAGGATACTGTATGTGCACTGCAGAGTGACTATCACAGTTTATGGCGTGACGGCCAACTATGATCAATACAGTTTAGATCACAGCACTAATCAAACTCTCAAAATTCAGCTCTGAATGCTACAGAATGTGGCTGCCACTGGTATTAATAAACAAACAGTGAATGTAACCGTAGTTAATCACTCTAAAAGTGACAAATGACAGATAGCCATTTTCTGCTGCCGTGTAAACATTACTGTAGGGTTCCAGTGCTCTCACAGCATTAAGGCGGGAATTAACCTTTGCAACCAGCCAACTGACAAGCCAACTTTTGAGAAACATTTAAGCGTGGCTTGAAAAAAATGCGTGGCATTGTGATTAGATCTTTTGACCAAATCAGGAAATGTTCATGGTGCTTATGTAAGATTTTAGCTGCCAGGATTTCATTTAGAATTAAAACGAGATGGTAAAGAATCAGAGTGGCTAGTGACAGGCTATTATAGCTGAAAGAAAAGTTCACATTTCACCTTCAGAATTACTAACAAAAAATAAATAATTAAAGGGAAAAAAAGAGAGATGAGGTCTGCAGATGTGTAGTAAGGAGAATTCAGCAGGGTTCAGTCTAAAGGAGTCGCTCAGGGCACGAGGACGTGGCACTGGAGGAGGACGGCATTAAGCTGACCGCTGAAGATGGGCTGTCAATCTTGCTTACTCAACAACACCTGATCACACTGCACAGTGTTAGGTAGCCTCTCATCCGAGTACTGAGAGTGCCAGGGGTCAGAAAGAAAGAGGGAGAGAGAGGGGAAGAGATAGTAATGCGGAGAGGAAGGAAGTAGAGATGGAAGAGGTAGAGGAGAGGGAGGGAAGAAGGAGAGATAGTTGGAAAGACAAAAACGACACTACAAATGACAGAAGGGCATGCAGAGGGAACTCAGGGGAAAAAATCACTGATGATTAAGCAAAAGTTCTGGAAGAGAGTTTGTTCAATTAAAACGGACATCACGTACGTTCGCTGCATGAAGATTGTTCATTTTTGTTTGTTAAAATAAAAGAACACGCAGGAAAATACACTAATAAAAAGGGTCTATAAACTAAAAGAAACATTCAGAGTTCAAGCTCACATAAGCACTATGAACATGCTTTTGATTACCACAGAAAACAATTTTTCATTCCTCAGTTTGTCACATCAAATATTGTGTTCACTAACACCCTTACAATGAAAGTTGCATAGGGATAAACACAACATACAGCCACAAAACTTACACATTATGTAACAATATTGCATACTAAGCTTTTCTAAGCTATATTAAATTTATCTAACTTCTGTCATGATCATGGAGAGAGATAACTCCGAAATGTCAACGCAGAATGGATGCAACATTACTTGAAAAAGGCTGTTTACCTAAAGAAAAATTCACACACTCTAATTTCACTAGCTCAGACCAACAGCTAAAATGTTGCTTTTTAAACTCGAGATTAAAGTTAAAAAAGAAAAACCCTTTTGTATAGAATATAGTTAATTATTTATAAGCACTGTAACATTTTCTTTATGAAGTAGCATTTTTCTTTAAAAAGCAGCACATTTATATCTGAAATGACTTGCTTCATAATCTTCCATCTTTTTTTACATTATATATTAACAATGCAAGTTTTAATTGTATTCTGTAAATTTGAAATAATATTCTCTTTGAAATAAAGTAAAGTAACGTCAGTCGAAAAGAAATTAAGGTTTTTGATAAATTATCAGCAAAAGTTTTTTTTTTTTTTGGGAACTACTCCTTTAAGGGATGTAACCAGTAGAAACAGTATTGATTATTAAACTGCTGGTACAGTCGATTAAACAGAATTTAGCTTGTTCTCGCTCTGAGCTCACACACAGCACTTGTTCAAATAATGAATTAAGATGTAGTTCACTATTGAGTTTGTTAGTCAACAAATGAACAAAAAGATCTACTGTGTGTGTGTGGTGGCTGCGCCCTCTAGACGATCCTAGAGGCAGAAGTGAAAGATGTTGGAAAAGTAAATATGACACAAATGTAAGACATCAAGTCATCAAAATACACGGTTAAAACTATTGATGTCAGGGCCGGTGGGACGATGTGTGATTGACCATTTTAAAGGGTCTAATAATGTGTCAGGAAAGAGAACCCACATGTAACTAATGGCCTGTACTGCACATATTTTATTGGTGTTAATATTAACTGAGGCATTCTCTATTCTAACAGCATTGATCTATTCTATTCTCAGCTAGCGGCCTTCCAAAGTGAATTAAAAGGTCTGGGTTTCCCTTGCAAGCTCTATTAACTGAATAATTAGCACATTCTGTATGTGACAGGTTTCAGATGGGTCACATTTAGTAAATCATGTTTTAGTTTCTGAGTGGATGCACTGTTAAAAAAAAAAAACACTTGACGTAAGAAAAGAAATGGAAACTGGCAGT